TATTATTTTCGAAAGTGTGGTTTTTACTTTCCTTTTATTCATAAACAGCTGCTTTGATTACGACACAGATGAGATAGTCATGGGTTCAACGAACTATTAAGTGCGATCATAGAACTGTTGATCAATACTCTCATGAATAAATCAACAATAATCAAGAAATTATTATAGCGAAAGACTTTTTGTTTTGCTCTCGTTATCTGGTCGTTTCTTAACTATGTACCTTCAATTAATCAACTAGTAATGAATAATCTAATTATTTTCTACTATTTGTTTCTCTTTCACAAGATACTTGAAAAGAACGGCGTAAGACTAGTTTTTAAGCTGAATGTTTTTGACAAGATATTTTTTCACTCTTCCCTCCTTTCAACCATGCTCTTTAGGATTTGTACAATTAAAATATTTCTGAAAATATTGGGAAAGTTCCAACAGAGATTTAGGATCATTTCTCTATTCAAGACTCGAAGAAGTTTTTGCCATATCAGGTTTTCAATGGAAAAAATGCAATAGACACAGTGTTGGCATGAAAAAATAAGTTCGTGATATGCTTGTCTCGCAGTAGGCGGAGTTTAGATTATATAGGACAAGATGGAAGACTGTAGAGTTTTAATAAGCAGTGGGAGTGGTTTTAGTGGGCGATATCTTGAAATCTAAAATTCATTAAATCGAAACACCAAGGTTGGTACGGAAATTTGTAAGCGGCGATCCTCCGGCTATTATAAACCAGCCGCGACATGCGTCGTCGTTTGGGAATAGCTGAACTTCGTAATTATATTGCCACGCTTCAACTAAGTTACAGAAGAAACTGCCCTTTGTGAAACTTGTCTCTAAATAATTGAACGTTCACCGTGTAGAAAAAATCAAGATTCTTTATTCTGATTAAAATTCGGGGAAAATATTATAATACCTGACCTGTACTTGTTCGGGTACAGGAAATTAAGTTAATTTTAATTTTAATAATTATTTCACGGTGAACGAAAAAGAGGAGGGGAGAGGCGAATGGAATAAATTAATGAAAGGTTGTGTATGGATTGAGTGTAGCAAGGAAAACGAAACCTTGTCTCTCGTTCTCGTCTCGGAGCGCCGATCGAAAGTTTGCGAGAACTTAAATCGAGATTCAGGAAGTTTTGAAATTAATTCTTATTGAGCTTTGAACCGACTCGTCGAACGCGACACGATTTCTTCACGGCCCTCAACTTGTGTAATAACGTTTCGCTCGAAAACTTTTCGTCACGAAGTATCTAATAAATATTAAATTCGAACGGTTCCACGTCGAGCATAACGATTTTAATACAATATCGTTCCCTGCGCTTAAGGCCCTCGATATGCGATTGATACTTCTATTTAAATGCTTCTATCTTTGTTTTCTTTTGCTGTTTAGTTTTAGAGCCTCCAGTCGGCCAGAATAGATGCCTGCACGAATAGCTTCGTATTATTTTTCACGTGAAATATACTTCTTTCCCCTTTGTTTCAGTGGATCTGCTACAAATGTTGGAGTTCAACTTGACGGTAACGTTCCCTGCAGCATCTCTACTCACGGTACTCCTGGCTCTCGTCGGTAAGTCATACCGCTATTTTTTAAGTAGCAGATAGAGCAGAGATGAGGAATAGCAATAAACCTATCATCTTATCGACTTTTGTGTTTAATATTACTGCCACATTGAATTGAAAAATTAAGATCTGATTCGAACATCCTCGATCTCTTGAATAAGTGATCAGTTAAAGAACTAATACTTACAAAATGAAGTAATATTGGAGTACAAGAGGGATGTGGATATGTTTTCTATTTCCCTAAGAACAAACCAAATTACGTATCGTCTCCCGTCCTGATTTCTATTTCCGCGAAATTTAATCACATAATTTCTTTAGGTTGTAACATTCATTGGTACATACATTAAATTGTTGAAGGAAAAAAGTCATGACTCACAATCTTAAATACCCACTCCCAGGATTAGTCATTTGATTAAGGATCGTGAAATAAAAATGCCATGATCTGTTTTCATATATTTATTAACTAGAATTTAATCATTTGTACAAGATATTAGTGTATTTTCTACTTTAGTGATCGCCAGGATTGCTTTTCATAATCTGTTGATAAATTGTATTGAGGCGTTAGAGTTTTACAACAATCTCATATAAAAAATATATTGGTTGATAAGGTCTAGTTTTATACGTAGTCTTTGATAGTAGAATAAGACAGTAAGATAGTAGAATAAGACATAGATAGAGATCTTAGAATTCCATCATCGAGAGAATGATTCATATATCATGTATGTGATCGATTGATACTAGGTTTTGTCGAAAAATTTTCTGGAAAATCTGCTATTCAGATATCTATATACATAGACATAACTTCATCCAGAGCCGGAAATGCGTTAAGAGATCTGATTTGCTAGTCAGCGGTAATTGAGAACGCGTGCCAGTCTGCATAGCAGAGGTGCAAAATATTAAAGGCTTTTTACTAAATCAATGGCTCTCTCTCGGTTTTGTTCCCTCGCCTCGCCGGGTACAGCGTTAGCTCCGTTACAAAGCTGATTGGTCGGGACGGTTAACCCAGGATTCTGCATAAATTTCTGATGAAGGCGCAACAGTTGGGTAACCCGCTCGGAGCCCATTTAGTAACGGTGGCGGCGTCGGTGGTTTCCCTACCACCGTGACGCCCATTTCCATTTCAACCTGAATCTCCTCTCTTCACGCTTCGCATGTCCGTCAGCGCCATGCGATTGACCCGTATAAAGTGCGATATCGCTAATCCTCTCGCAAGCTTATCGCCGGCTTCTGAAAACATTGGTCAAATTTAATATATGGAGATCTCCGATTCTCCGTCTTTCATTTTCTCTCTTACACTATTTCATATACGTGTTTCCTTCAATGCAAGATATCTTCCATGGGAATTGATGTTAGAGGAATTTTAAATAAATTTAACTTGTTGACTTGTTAATATAGAATGCAGTAAAAGGAGGTCAATAATTTCATCCAAAGTTATATCGCAATTTTTTAACGAAGTGGTAGACATATAATAACGGTGATGGTTAATTTTTGTAAGGAGTGATCAAGATACGGTCCGTTGGCAGTTACGGTAGGGCCACCAGTTGCGTGGTCCGTTTTCGAGTAAACCGGCAACAGAAGTGGTAAATTTCCAGATACGTAGTGCAAGGACCAGGCGCGTTTCTACTTGTGTGTATATATCGGTTTTACCAGTGGATGTAGAAGAAGGAAAGGAAGCCTTAGGGAAGTTGTTATCTGGAGTAATGGGTTCCGGTTCCTGTGTCGCTTCCTACCCTCCATCCGTCATCCTGCAAGCTCTCTCTCTGGCGAGTACTTCTACGATTTCTGGGCTTCCTACGCCACCCTGTCCTTCCATCCACAGCATATTTCCCTCTCTCCTCCTTTTACCTTTTTTCCAACGAAAGAAAAATAAAAACACCGTTTTATGTCGTATTTCTGTGACAATAAACACCGAAAGAGTACAATTCTATTTAATGCGGTCGAGAAATTTAGTATCGTCGCGGGCAGCATTCGAAATTCGTTTTTTTTCACGCTTGTGTCGCTCATCGTTTGTCGAAGAGCATTTATTGCAAGTCATAGTAAGAGAAAAATGAGGAAAATAAAAAGTCCGAAAGATGATCCTTGCGTTTATTCTCGCGGAGATTCGATTTTTACACTCGGGCTTGGTGCGCGATCATAAAACGGTTGAGTGTCTTTGAGTCTTTTCAAAATCATTTGAAATTATATTCTCGTCTAATCCGTCTCTTCTGGTGCAAATGAAATTTTTCTGAAAAGAGTGCACCGAAACTCTACAATGTTCGTATCGATTCATCGTTTACGAGGTGTTGCGCTCGTGATTTTCTCGCAAACCGTGCGTATGCATCATCGCTGCGAATTCACGTGAAATCGAGCACGCGTCGGTTGGCGTTTGGCGCCGGGAACAACCGCGAAGACGATTTTGCATAATGGAATGTCAAAAGAACAGAGTCACCGGCGGCGTCCCGGCGCATCAGTGACGCATGATCGACCGCCTAACATGCTGTAAACACATTTTCAGCCACGGTCAGAACATGTTCCACTCTCTGTTGCCGCTGTTTTCGTTTATCTGCTTACGGCTCCCGTCGAAACTACTTTCCCTCTATCCGTATCAGGGGTGCAAGCACGCCGGGCGACGTTCACCAAACTTTAACACGAGTTTGGATCGCCTTCAGAGAACGATACTACATAATTGATTTAATATCTCTTGTAAAAATTCTTTGCCAAATTAACACAATTTGACTGTTCCTATTGCATGTAAAATTATATTTATCGTTAGACAGACACAGAGTTGAATTCTGTAATGAATATCGGGTTATCCTGCGCATTTCGATACTTAGATGCGTAGTGTTGTAACATTATGTAAATTATATCGAAGAGAAACACGATCAAAGCGGGTAGAAACAGAGAAAACCCGTAGCACCAAGGTGTATGTTTGAATTACCTGAAACACATGTAGATATATACATATTGTACACAGGTTTCGAGCTCTATGAACATCGCCAGATCAATGACGCTCTGTATGTTGATTCAACTATCTAACCCTAACAACTTGCTCAGTAACTATTGCTCAACTCCAGATTCCATGACGCATTTCCACCGGATATGCAGAGACGAGATGCCATACGGTTATACTATAGAGACACCAAATCTGCTTTCATAAGTCTCTCTCAGTATTCGATTTTGACTCTCAGGCAACAAAATTTATCAAATTATCTTCATGTATCAAAAATCTGTTTATAATTCTCAGTTTAAAATGATCCATACATCATTTCATCGTTTACTATCACGGATTTACGTTTTACGTACATTACTCAAAGTTTGCGAGTCTGTAGTTTTCATAATGTTTATTATACGTAACGGGGAACGCATTTCTGGCCCAATTTCGATTTGATTAAGGGCAAGTGAGCCCAATTTCGGATTCCATCAAGCTCAAGTACGCTTGTTGTCAGTATGTTCGGTCAGCAGGAAATACGGCCATCAGTTTCTGGGTGATCGACCCATTTCGACGGTTTATGTTTGAAATTAATTTCAGCTGAAAATCTTCAGTCGATATCGCGGTCAGAAAATCTATCAGGCATCAATCTTTTTTCGTTGTAAAAAGGTAGTGACCGAGAAAGTCGAAGCTGAAGAGTCTATGCGTTTATTCGTTTATGAGTCGATGCGAGACTACAATCGGTTCTAAATCCCAGTTCGGTAAAAATAATTGTGTACGCAAGACGCGAGATGTGCCAATAAACTTCAAAATCTCGAAGTTTGTCAACATCGATGTTCATGCATGATCGATTGGCATCGCCGTTTCATGCGCGTAGCTGCAAGACCGTGTAAAACGGATGCGTCGGGTTCTAGTATATACCTGAGTACATGCATGCATACATACATATGTGCTCGCTGCATGTGTCAGTGACTGTACACCTATCTTGTCAATCATGACTGCGAATTAATTTTGATTCACGGGGTCGTCAACTGCCTAACGTGGTAGAAATTATAATTACGCTACGGTTACGATATATGTCTGTACAAATGAAACATCTGTGCGCGAGATCTTCAGTTTTGCATTTAAATAGATGTAGCATAGGTAATGGCAAAGCATTAACTATCATTACATTAAATACTACACACTACACTAAATATTGTGAAATTAATCGGATTATTTGTTAGCATACGTTCGTGCAAAGTATTTCCTGCACATTCTCTTGTAAATGCATCAAATACGGAGTCTACTCATGATTATTTCTATCAAAAATATATGACTCGCTCATTAATTAATTCGTTTAAGGATGTATAGGCTATATACTTAAACAATGCTAGCGTGTTGAATTTGTTATTATAGATTCCTGTTACTATTAAAAGGCTACCTGCAAAATTTTAAATCAATTTATGGGTTTTTTGAAAAATTATAGTGACTTAAAATTTGCATGTACTCTTATGGTAATCAGCAGTAACCCAAAGAACACTTTCTGGTATTTGGTGTGCATGTACGAAGTTGGAAGACTCCGCGTTCTTGAGGTTAAACTGAACAACAAAGAGCGTTTGAACGTGGGATTAATGCGGGACATATTTGTATCCGGAGGGATCGCGGATGCTTCCGCTAACAATTTCCCGTCGTTCCGTTCACCATTTCCCGAAACACGGAGAAATTTTTCTCGAGTAACGAGGGATCTCCTTGATCGTTTCCTTTTCCTTTTTTTGTGGCAGAAAAATGCTGGCGACATAAATTGGAACGTTCCCCGTGCAATTTCAGCGTCGCGCGAGATTATCGGGGGCGTTCGTCGTAGTTGCTCGAGGAATTTTAACGTCTTTATAAAAGTCAAGAGGAAGAGGAAAACGTCGAAGCCTCCGATAGTTCTGGCCGGCGCGCGCTCGGCCAGGGCCGGGGGCTTACCGAGCTGAGGTAATGTCCGGCTAGTATGCATTTAAATGAGTGCATTATCCGTGCATTATCCGGCGTTAAGATCATTTCGGGACCTCCCGGTATGTTAACTGATTCATGCGTCTCGAAGTTGTTATCCAAATAACGATATTTGCGATATTGATCTCCAGCCCCGATTGTCTTCTCCGTTCTCTCTTCTCTCTTCCAATTTTTAACATTCTCTCTTGATAATATTATATGTATACATTGTCGTGTACCCCAAAAATTTATCGTTATTGTGTCCATGCTTCTTGTATCGTAAATTGATTAACGTTTCATTATTGTCAATCGTGCTCCAATTTTTATTATCCCCAGTAAAATATGTCATTATCAATCAACCGTGGCTCTTTTTGATTCTGATCGTTCCGCGCTTCGGATATCACTCGATAATATACTGACATTTATAAATTTTCAGCAGCAATTAGTCCATGCGTCAAGCTACAACACACAATATCTAATTATGTTCATTACTCATTATTGTTATCGATAGATATCCGATGATTGAGCACGTATAATTATGTTGCTTATTCCAACGCCATTATTACGGTTCATATGGAGATATTGTATTTAACGTATCCTCATACGTATATACAATAAATTACGTAATACGATTATTACATAAAAAACAAACGATTTTTAAACAAATAACATGATTACTTATTAAGTTAAAAACATGATTCCTCTTTAAATATGACGATGTTTAGTTTCGGCAGTTTACATACTGTGTGAATTATCCTATAAATATTCGACTCTCATTTACAATTTGCATCTATAATTAAGTAGCTAAGCTCATGTTACATATTTCTTTGACGTTATTTCCACTCTGGAGAAAAATGGAAAGTCAGAGAAGTATCACATGTTGCCAGCTGGTCTATTTGTATCTCTCCGTGTCGCGTACATTTGGGATGTAACCCCGTGGCAGACTCCTCATTAGCATTCGCCGCGCGTTGTTTTCTTCTTGGTTTGTCGCAGTGTGTCCGATCAGGAAACTAATTATCCGAGGTCGCCCCTCTGTATTCCAGAAACCATTCGTCCTTTTCGTCGCGAAGTGCCTTCATCTGCCACCCTTTGTCCAATATATCGGGTGTCGTCTTTCTTCGCCTAATATTTGCCTCGCGCTTCGAAAAACGATGCCCACCCGCCTAAGATCGAGTACCCGGCCTCTTTAACAGAGTGGAGGCAATTATCCATGGCGATGGGTTTCTTCAAGAAGCTGAACTAATTGAATATTATACTAATTAAAATATGTTTGGTGACAGATAATCTAAAAGATTTTTCCTGAAAGTCTACCGGTTTTAAGCGCATCCTATTGTTTTGTATTATATATTTCCATCACTTGATAATTGCGATCAGTTTGAAAATATTGTGTCGATTGTTCAACGAAAAACTTTCAGCGTTATAATTAATCATCGACGGAGCCGGTGCGTTTCAGTTTGGTCGTTTTGCAGTTTCGTGACCTGGCCACGACACACCCTAGGATACTTTTAATATTTCCGCTCGGTCCCCGGGGGGTTTTCATATCGTTACAATTCATTAAGAAACACGCTAGCCGTCCAACATTGTTCTATACTTTCCATGAAATGCATTAGCTCTATTTTCTATGTACGTACGTATATTGTATGAACCGACCGTTAGAAATTATATTGGCGTTCGAATTATTCGCATATTTGTTCTGTGAAAGACTTATTAAAAAATTCACTTTGATGTCGGTTTAATTCTATCTGGGATTAGGTATTTTTTCGCAGCAGAACCAATGCGCAGCGAAGCCATGGTTTATATTAAATTTTTAGGAATTTTCGAGGAAGATTTTAATATCTCACCGTATTTTTACCTGCTATAATTATTTTTCGAAACTGAAGATCCTCTTAAATTTAAGATCATTTTAAATGTTACAGGATATAGATCGTAGACATTTCTTGGAAATTGAGCATCAAATGCTTCGCATACTTGTTGTACCGTAGCTATGATTCGGTTTAGTCTTCGAAATTTAATATCCTAATTTTTTGCAGTTTTACATTTGACATTTAATCATTCACTCAATTGCGTGCGATGTACTGAAGAATTTTGAACATCGCGTGACAAATTGAAGAACGCGAGGCAATCATACTCCCGTGTTGGTTCGTTGGCAGGTATCTAAATTCTCGTTCACGGCTAGTTTGACGGAAAGTCGTTTCAGACGGAATAACTTGGGCGATGTTTCAGCCGATAAGTGAGATTTAACGTTCGACGCCTGGGAAACAATAAAAACGACCGGCTCAGAACCGTAGCGAACGTATCGTTTTAACGGTATAATGGTCCATGGTTGGGTATTAAATTTACATGGACCCGGTAGACTTGCACGCCGCGCGGCGAACTTTTAATTGTGCGGAAACTATTCGATTAATAGAACGAGCCGCGGGTTCGATAGTAGACGTCTGCGAGTATCGATTACGCAGAGTTATTTCGCTATTTTTGATACCTGCCACGAATCCTCTCCCTTCGTCGTTGTTAGTAGTACGAATTAAGTAATCCAAATTGTACATGTCAACTTTTGAAAAAAGTACTTTAAGAGGGGAAGGAAGTTCCTTTCTTATCTCGCTTTTCTTTTGTTCACATTACATGTGCCTTAATTAATGACTACTCGTATTTAATTATGAACAGATACAAATTGTTTTAGAGTTGTCTCTTATAATTGTAGGATAAGCATTCAGTTATAAGAGAAATCCGTTTAGTTTTTAAATTAAATTAGCTCCTCTTAAAATAATACGTAGTTGAAGAAGAATTATTTGTCAGCGTTCAAGCTTGTTATAAGGCGAATGATTACACGTCAGGTTAATTTAGCTTACAGCTTGCTTTATACAAAAAGGAAAATACTATGTACGAGTCCTGATACACCTAAATGCACGTGCACGTGCTGGCAAGACGCATAGTGCATGTACTCGTACATCTACATAATACATATATGTACATAATACATATACGTGCCCGTGTACGCAAGATTCACAATATTCTCCTGTATTTGCATGACATGTTTATACCGGGATATCTAGTAAAAAAGTGCACAAGTTGGCGAAGATTTTTAGCAGATCTCTTCGTAAATTCCTGCTACGTCAAACTATCTAGTTGTCTATCACGTGCACTGCTTTCTAAATATGGTTAGTTTCGACAAAGGAAGCCAGAAATATCGTTGCTGAAGATTTGATAATACAAAATATATTAATCATAGTAAATCTTACGATTTTTTAATATATCTATAATTCTAAGATATGATACATGCTTTTTAGAGCAATAAATATAATAGAAATGATTATAGAACGTATATAATTTGTTATTCAACAATAAATTATTTTATTCCAGGGATGGAAGCAATCATGTCGGAGTTCTTCAACGACACCTCGACTGCTTTCTATATTATATTGATTGTGTGGATTGCTGATCAGTATGATGCCATTTGTTGCCACACACCTGTTACGAAGAGGCACTGGCTTCGGTGAGTGTTTTGCCATGATTTTCTGATTTATAGTTATATTCAAACGACGAAGGTTTTCGGTTAACAAAAAGATAACTAAATGCTCAATAACGTGAGGGTAACGCATTTTCTGTAATTATTAGAAACGCGCAGATCGCTAATGCGGTGTGTATACTGAAATCTTCGCGAAACACGCAGCGATCGATAATTTAATAAGCTTAGGGGGAGAGGGATCGGTATGTATTTCCTTGTTTGTACACGACCGAGGCTGGTTGATTCATTCCGGCGTGGTCATATTGTTTCCGACTCCTATCTGTCTTGCCGCGTGCTAGCGTGTTACTCTATCGCCATAAATAGTTCCGATCAACCTAGATCCGACAAATTGTCGGGTTCCACGCCGTCGTTTGTCGTTTCCGTTGGCGGTTGTGTACAGATGTCAAAGCGGGATCAGGATGTAACCCCTCTTGTAATAGGAATCGAGTTTTACGCTCGATGTGCCTTATCGAAGGGGATGAGAGTGTGAGAGAGAGAGAGAGAGATAGAGACGGAGAAGGGGAGGGAAGCAGCAGTGTAATTTCCTTAGACCGGCAAAGCTATAGAACGAGACATTAGGGGCATTAGACGGTGATTAAACAAAATTGTCGCCGGTGATGGTCCTACTTGTCGCCTTGAATGTTTGAATAGGTAATGTGCGAGCGGACGGTCAACGAAATTGTGAAACGCTTAAAGCGGAACTTTTTAACCCTTTGATCGTGGAAATCTTTAAGCAAGAACGTTCGTAAACAGAATAGGTAAATTACGGTACTTAGTTATTGAAGTATAATTTCATGCATGATTTTACGTAATAAATAGTATCTTTTTATTTTTGAAGAATTGAAATTTATTAAACAAAAATTAAGGGTATGT